GCTCGACTTGAAACAAAGACCGTTAGCCGTTCGCGTAATCTAATCTAATCGTCTTATCCCTTACCCATCATCTTGAACATGAATAACATCGGTGGTCCTCGAAGCCTGAACGCCACCTATCGGGGGTTAAGTGGGCTCAATGGGCTTCCATAACGGGATAATGGGGAGATAATTGCGGCATAATCGACCAACGGTTACTGTTGGGAACTGGCGCGTGGAAGATTGTGGGGGAGATGTTGACTTGACTGATGTACGGCGTACTTGCCCACAGGGCGTATACTGACGACCCTTTCATCTGTCACATTGCTATACTTGTCGGCCCTCTCAACACATTTAAAGAGCTCAATGCTCCAATTGGGTATTGATATGGACCAATTTGCCGGCCGATGAACCTTTGTTTGTATGGAGTGAGTGAGAGAGAACATGGTTATACGTTGAATTTGGAATGTACAAGACTCCTAAAACGTCAAGGCCAGACAGTAACCAGACTTGATTATCCCGATTCCATTGAGCGTAACAAACAAAATAGAGCTTTAAATAAGGAATTAGTGTTTGTTTGTTTTGTTTGTTGTTTAACGCCGCACTCAGCAATATTCCAGCTATATGATGGCGGTCTGTAAAATAATCGAGTCTGGACCAGACAATCCAGTGATTGACATCATGAGCATCGATCCACGCAATTGGGACTGATGACATACTTCAACCAAGTCAGCGAGCCTGACAACCGATCCCGTTAGTCGCCTTTTACGACAAGCATAGTCGCCTTTTACGGCAATAATGGGTTGCTGAACATCTATTCTACCCCGGAATCTTCACGGGTATAAGGAATTAGTGAAAATCAGTAATGGCACAAGTGTTCGCGAAAAAGACATTAAAGTAATGGGTTTCACACATTCAGGGTTTTACAAGACACAAACTATTGCGTTCTGTACACATAATCATTCATAACTGGCGCAAATTTGAAATGCGAGGTCCTTGAAATGCAAAAACGTATGTTTGTTTGAATAAATAAAACTCATAAATAGAAAGAATGGAAGTCTTCAGCGTGACGAGAAAGCACCTTAACCACTGGACTACCCCTGTCTGTGTTTGTATTGGAGTTACAGCTGACCAGGGGGCACGGGTGGCCCAGTCGTCTAAGGCGCCGTGATTCGCTGTGCAGAGTTGCGTCCCTTGGTCGCGCCAGAAACCTATGATTGTGGGTTCGAATCCCGGTTCGCCCCGATTATGTTTCTAGGTTTGTCAACACCATACCCGTGCTCGTGGGTTTCACCGAAGTGGTAAACGTCTGAGACCTGCATCACTTCGGGCTTTCCTCCCACATTAAGCTGATACGCCGTGATATAACTGGAATACCGTTAAAAGCGGCGTTAAACCAAACTCAGTCACTCACTATAGCTGACCAACACATGCTTCTTTATTAAACTTAGGGAAACTTATACTGGCAGTAATCAAGAGCCGTGGTATCCATAATGAGAGGGTTGTGTTGTGCGACGGTCTGAACGTTATTTCAGTTATACAACCTGATACAGGTCTTAACGTGAAATCAACGAGCAAGGGTACATGCGGAGAGAACAAGGATCACAATCAAGGCGAATCTGGGATTACAAACAACAAGAAGCGCACCCAAGCAGACAAGGGACTCGAACCTGGGCGCCTTGGACCGCTGTGCCACTCGTGCCCCATGTTATTTAACGGTTAGGCTCAGGCTGATTTGCATCACTGGGTAGTTTGAATTGGCTCTTCCACAACACTGACCGAAAATAATTAATTGATAATTGATATTTAAGGCCGCACTCACATATTCTAGCTATAAGACGGCGGTCCGGAAATGATCGATTCTGGACCAGGCAATCCAGCCATTGACTTCATTAGTATCGATACGATGCCATCCAATCAACCAAGACAGGAAGCCTGACAACCGGCTCCTTCACGTCGCCGGCGTGACAAGCATGGGTTGCTGGGGACCGAAGTAAGTCTGACTGTCTCAGGTACTAGGCGTTATGACCACTATACTACCACGCCACAAATCACGGGCTGTAATGACACATCAAAAGCTGTTCGACCCGTGAAGATCCGGGGTAGAATAGGTCTTCAGCAACCCATGCTTGCCGTAAAAGGCGACTATGCTTGTCGTAAGAGGGGACTAACGAGATCGGGTGCTCAGGCTCGCTGACTTGGTTGATGCATGTCATCGTATCCCAATTGCGTGAAACGATGCTCATGATGTCAATCAATGGATTCTCTGGTCCAGACTCGAGTATTTACAGACCGCCGCCATATCGCTAGAATATTGCTGAGTGCGGCGTTAAACAAACAAATAAACAAACAAACAAACAAACAAACAAACAGAAGCTGTTCGAGGCGCTGCTCCAGCTCGGTTATTAAAAAAGGACTGTCGGGCGATCTATATCCCCAGACACCAGGAGAACATTTCTTTGCAAGGACCACATCACTGGTCTGAATATGTGTTAGTAGCTGGTAAAGCAAATGCAATAAATCATCTCAAATGGACCTCGGACGTTTTTGGAAGCATCACAAGAAGGACAACTCCAGAGGGATTTGTTTTGGCAGTCAGAACACATCGACGATTTCCGTACATTTCCGGAATGTGTTTTCGAAATGAATACTCTTTAGGTTTAGAATGATAATGATCTGCTATTGTTAAACCAACATTACAGTTATTGGGGGTGTATAGGCAGTGTGGGCACGTTCTCTGAGATAAATAGTCTATTTCTAGATCGTGGATAACACAGACTAGGTTCAGTGCAATACACCCAAAACACAGGCTTTTTTTTTGTGGTTTTCTGTACAATCGATATCCGTCACACACTTATAAATCAATCTCGGGTGAATGTAATAAGATTATTACAATAAAAACGAAATAAGAATCAGTTTAACTCTGATGTTATGCTGGAGATAATATTGTTTGGGCAGACGACATGAATCCATAATTAGCGATGTCAAAAAAGGAAACAGAGAATAGACGGATTGAGACAACAAAATTAGAACGATCCAGGAGTATCCGAAACGAAAAAATGGGAATAGAGATGAGGAATATAAAAGAGGAGATCTAATCATGTTTGGGGTCGGTTTTTCCAGAATTCTGCGCTTATGCCGATATAAGCACGTATTCAAACGTTGGCACATGTGATTTATCACACAAAAGAAGAGTAAATAACCAGCAACTACGCCGGGTTTAATCACCAGCAACAGCCGTATTTGTTTAGACAGATAAATGTGGCATCAAAACCAATTTTATGGAAAGATGAACTTAATGTGTTGCATGTCTCAAAACGTTGCCGATACAATCTGGATTAAATTTGCCAGTTTTAATTCCGTCGGTAAAACCGATCCCAAGTGTCCTGTGCCACTCGCAAAAAGGCGCCATACTTTGGAACTGGTCAGTCACAAGATTCCGAGTGACTATAGGCGGTCAACATGTTGGCTCATCTAGTGATGTATAGTGTCTTCTGACAGATCATGGTGAATAAAGAGTGCAATATTTTGTACAATTTCTGGTAGCGTATAAATTGTGGAATAAGGACGTGAAACCTTTGCGGATAAAATTTCCATATTTTTAATATACATAAGTTGTTATCCCAAAAAATTTCATGTCTCCCTATCCTTCCAACTTTTAAATGTGTATCAATGACCTGAATATTGATGTTGGGTGGGTACTCCCAAGGAAAAATATACTTTTCTCAAATCACAGTATTGTTTCATCAAGACATGAAGTGAATTTAATCTTCAAACAATACGACCGCCTCCGTAGAGCGGTTCGGTTGGGGGTTCGATCTCCGGCCGCGTCATACAAAAGGTTGTACTTGTTGTTACCCTGCCTGCCGTTCGGTTTAAGGGGTCAAATTGTTTGTTTGTTTGTTTCTCTGTTGTTTAACGCTTCACTCATCAATATTCCAGCTATATGACGGCGGTCTGTACATAATCGAGACAATCATAATCCAGTGATTGACATCATGAGCATCGGTCCACGCAATTGTGATCGATGACATGCATCAACCAAGTCAGCGAGCCTGACCGCCCGATCCCGTTAGTCGCCTCTTACGACAAGCATAGTCGCCTCTTACGACAATCTTATGTCAATCACTGGATTGTCTGGTCCAGACTCAGGTATTTACAGACCGCTGTCATATAGCTGGAATATTGCTGAGTGCGGCGTTAAACAATAAACAAACAAACAAACAAACAAACAAACAAACAAACAGAAGCTCTTCGAGGCGCTGCTCCAGCTCGGTTTATTAAAAAGGACTGTCGGGCGATCTGTATCCCAGGACAACAGGAGAACATTTCTTTGCAAGTACCACATCACTGGTCTGAATATGTATTAGTAGCTGGTAAAGCAAATGCGATAAATCATCTCAAATGGACCTCGGACGTATTGTGTAGCATCACAAGAAGGACAACTCCAGAGGGATTTCCGTAAATTTCCGGAAGGTTTTCCGAAATGAATAATCTTTATGTTTAGAATGAAGTTGCGCGTGAAGTTATATTCGCACAAGTGCATATACGATTTTTATTAACTTTTTCATTTCTAACCAATAACTTTATTTTATGTTGGAATTATGTCAGTCATACAGCGAATGGACTTAACGGCGTTCTTTCAAACAGAGAATCGAACATGCGAACAACGTCTTCATGCAACATGTTTGTTTATTTGTTCTTTTGTTGCTTAACGCCGCACTCAAATATATTTCAGCCATATGACGGTGATCTGTAAATAATCGAATCTGGACCAGACAATCCAGTGATTGACATCACGAGCATTGATCAACGCAATTGGGATACGATGACATGCATAAACCAAGTCAGGTAGTCTGAGCCCCAGATCCCGTCAGTCGCCTCCTACGACAGGCATAGTCGCCTTTTATGGCAAGCATGGCTTGCTGAAGACCAGTTCCGACCCGGACCATACAACATGTTGAACAACACATGGACATAGAGTGAGGTCCCCTTTAACCTCAATCATGAGAGAGCCTTACCTTCATCTAACTCTGCCGGCCAGTCGCACGGGGGCAGTGTGATGACGGACACGTTGTTGAGGACGTAGAGGCTGGTGACGTCAGGGACTATGGAATCGGTGGATGACGTCATAACGTGGCTGCGACGAGACTACACGAGAGTTGGTGCAACGTCCATTAAATCACAGTATATGTCCACGGGCGTCATGTTGAGATGGGTAAACTCCAAACAAATCTGCAAACAAGAAATTCCGAAAATTGAACAGAGTACTTGTAGGTCGAAAACTAGCTGTCTAAAATATTAAAAGCATTTTTTTTCTCTCAAAATATAAGCAAGCTTAATAGAAAACGACCTAAGACATTTTCAACATTAAATACAACACAGCCTCTCAGTGAAAATAAGGTACACACACTGTAGCTAGTTTATCAACTGGTCGAGTCTCCATAGGTCGGGCGCCTGTTTAATTCATAAGCAGGGACAAGGCGCCCCAATTACTGCCCATGCACGGAGATGAAGTTCTTCGTTAGCGGTGGACATGCTATTGACCGGTGGAATCTGATTAAGACAGCACATTGCTGTACACTGAACACTGTGTAAATATTCAACGTTACATACTGTTGAACAGTTCTGTTTGAATATTCCACGTCAAATACTATTGAACAGCTATAGCTATGTGTGAATATTCCACGTTAAATACTATTGGACAGTTCTGTGTGAATACCTCAACTGACCGAAAAAAATACAGAGTCAATACTTATAATTAAATTATAACGAAAACATGCGTTATCTACAGTAGTTTTATCAATAACAGCTACAGAAATCAAAGCAGACAAAAATGACGAGATTGATCAACATTTCAGGGATACATACCGTGGCGTGACATGAATCAGATGATTGTTTAATCTATGCACATAACTTGACGTGCCCACAAAGTCAGAAGCCAATCAACGGAGAGTGGGATCAAAACAAAGTTTTATAGGACCTGTCAATCAAGGCAAGAAGCGAGAACAGCACGGTCAGACTGTAACGAACCGGAACAAACATGTCCTGGAGAAGGCGGCTGTTTCAAATGACATGGACAGTTACCGCCAGATTCAAACATTAGTTGCCTGAGAACGGGAAGACATAGTTGGAAAAATGCGGGTTAAAAATGAAACCCTAGGACATGAAAATTTGTGAACCCAGGTGAGTGAAAAACAATTACAGGCGAGCGAGGCACATTCGGCCTCAAAGTTTTTTTCCCACGTCGAATACTGTTGAACGGCTATGTGTGAATATTCCACGTCGAATACTGTTGAACAGCTATGTGTGAATATTCCACGTTGAATACTGTTGAACAGCTATGTGTGAATATTCCACGTCGAATACGGTTGAACAGCTATGTGTGAATATTCCACGTCCAATACTGTTGAACAGCTATGTGTGAATATTCCACGTCGAATACTGTTGAACAGCTATGTGTGAATATTCCACGTCGAATACTGTTGAACAGCTATGTGTGAATATTCCACGTCCAATACTGTTGAACAGCTATGTGTGAATATTCCACGTCGAATACTGTTGAACAGCTATGTGTGAATATTCCACGTCCAATACTGTTGAACAGCTATGTGTGAATATTCCACGTCGAATACTGTTGAACAGCTATGTGTGAATATTCCACGTCGAATACTGTTGAACAGCTATTTGTGAATATTCCACGTCGAATACTGTTGAACAGCTATGTGTGAATATTCCACGTCCAATACTGTTGAACAGCTATGTGTGAATATTCCACGTCGAATACTGTTGAACAGCTATGTGTGAATATTCCACGTCGAATACGGTTGAACAGCTATGTGTGAATATTCCAAGTCGAATACGGTTGAACAGCTATGTGTGAATATTCCACGTCGAATACGGTTGAACAGCTATGTGTGAATATTCCAAGTCGAATACGGTTGAACAGCTATGTGTGAATATTCCACGTCGAATACTGTTGAACAGCTATGTGTGAATATTCCACGTCCAATACGGTTGAACAGCTATGTGTGAATATTCCAAGTCGAATACTGTTGAACGGCTATGTGTGAATATTCCACGTCCAATACTGTTGAACGGCTATGTGTGAATATTCCACGTTGAATACTGTTGAACAGCTATGTGTGAACATTCCACGTCGAATACTGTTGAACAGCTATGTGTGAATATTCCACGTTGAATACTGTTGAACAGCTATGTGTGAGTATTCCACGTCCAATACTGTTGAACGGCTATGTGTGAATATTCCACGTTGAATACTGTTGAACAGCTATGTGTGAATATTCCACGTCGAATACTGTTGAACAGCTATGTGTGAATATTCCACGTTGAATACTGTTGAACAGCTAGATGTGAATATTCCACGTCCAATACGGTTGAACAGCTATGTGTGAATATTCCACGTCGAATACTGTTCAACAGCTAGATGTGAATATTCCACGTTGAATACTGTTGAACAGCTATGTGTGAATATTCCACGTTGAATACTGTTGAACAGCTAGATGTGAATATTCCACGTCCAATACTGTTGAACGGCTATGTGTGAATATTCCACGTTGAATACTGTTGAACGGCTGTGTGTGAATATTCCACGTTGAATACGGTTGAATCGCGCTGTGTGAATATTCCACGTTAAATACGGTTGAACAGCTATGTGTGAATATTCCACGTCGAATACCGTTGAACGGCTGTGTGTGAATATTCCACGTTAAATACGGTTGAACAGCTACGTGTGAATATTCCACGTCGAATACCGTTGAACGGCTGTGTGTGAATATTCCACGTTAAATACGGCTGAACAGCTATGTGTGAATATTCCACGTCGAATACCGTTGAACGGCTGTGTGTGAATATTCCACGTTAAATACGGTTGAACAGCTAGATGTGAATATTCCACGTCGAATACCGTTGAACGGCTGTGTGTGAATATTCCACGTTAAATACGGTTGAACAGCTAGATGTGAATATTCCACGTCGAATACCGTTGAACGGCTGTGTGTGAATATTCCACGTTAAATACGGTTGAACAGCTATGTGTGAATATTCCACGTCGAATACCGTTGAACGGCTGTGTGTGAATATTCCACGTTAAATACGGTTGAACAGCTATGTGTGAATATTCCACGTCGAATACCGTTGAACGGCTGTGTGTGAATATTCCACGTTAAATACGGTTGAACAGCTATATGTGCAGATCGACAATCGGGCGGGAGAGAGTTTTCGTAGACATGTAGGGAGACCGTGTAAACCAGTGTTTAGAAGGAAGAAAGCACGTAAGACTACAACGACAACCATTTAGATTTAAAACAAATCCCATCAATACCGTGACTGGAGATGTAACAGAAATAGATGGAGATGACAATTATCTGACCAGATAGCGTGATTTGGCAGACCCCGAGAAGGGAGGGGGCAGGGAATAAGTCTCATAAAACACAGCGTTCATTGTCCATAGGTATCTATTGATAGCCAAGATGCAGTCTCCGGAACCGAAACGTCAGTGGTTCACAAATTCAATTTCCCGATGTAAGGTCAGATGTTCTAGGCCATACACTAGTGTGGATTTATGATAATTAATGGATTATCCCTGCTGAACAAGAACCTGTGTTTCATCTGAATATTTTATAAGAATGAAATAAACCACATTCCTGTAGCTACTCTTTAAAGGATGAAGCACTGGACAGGAACAAGAATTTCCATATTATCCACTCATTAGTCAGTATTGTATCGTCGCAAATCATTACATTTTATGTGGTAAATTACAATACTGCTATCTAACTTTGATCGTTGCGCTTGTAGAAACCGTTCACATATCTGTATGCGAGGTGTGGTGAAATAAAATTTAAAGGCGCGTTCAAGATTATTGCACTTATATTCACGCGCGCTGCTTGTACGTGTCCGTAATAATTTTATAGTGCTAGCCCACTGAGATGAATACCCCACTCAGATACAGTATACTGGCTCCGAGCCGACCAGTCCTTGTTTTAGCCCTTTAATGGCCAGCACCAGACAGGGTAACAACAAGTTCCATCTTTTTACATCTTTTGGTATGACGCGGCCGGGAAAAACCCCCGGACATAACGCTCTCCGGGTGGAGGCTTTACCACTAATCCACGGTGGCGGTCCTGTGTGTATTCGATGACACGTGTCCTCTATCAAGGTCGGTGTTTATTGTTCCTGGTTGATCAGTCTGGAGTTTACGCCGTTCAGTGAGTGAGTGAGTGAGTGAGTGAGTGAGTGAGTGGGTGAGTGGGTGAGTGCGTGAGTGAGTGAGTGAGTGAGTGAGTGGGCAATATTCAAGCAATATCACGGCGGGGGACACTAGAAATGGGCTTCACACATTGCACACTCGTAGGGAATCGAACCCGGGCTTCGGCGTGACGAGCGAACGTTTCAACCACTAGGCTACCCCACTGCCCCTTGTGACTCTGGTTCATCCGGGAGATATATTAACTTATTCTTTCTCTATTTGAATGATGGAATTATGGATATGTCATTACACATTCGTACATCGCATGGTATTGAGAAGAAGAACTCATGAGAACTTTCAGGTCACATGAGAAGGTGGAGAAGCCATTTTCCAGTTTTACCGTTAAGAGTTATCTGCCCCTTATGACACGTGATCGCGGTCATGACAACACGTAAACAAGAGCAATCGGATTGCCAAGCCGAGATCGTTTGTCGATAGACCATATTGTTTATTTACGTCCTACGCTTGTGATTTCAAAAACGTGTCAAATATGTTCTCATCCAAGACTATACCGCAGCTGAAATTGTATTTAAAGGATCGCTGTGTGACTTTTACAGGGTCACGTGGTCCTGCAAGGGACGTCACTCTAAGTGGACTTATTTCGCGAAACTGGAAAATGGCTAATTCACGTTCAAGTAAGTGGGTTGGTTTAGCGCCGATTTCAACAGTATTTCACTTCGCGTCAGAATGCCGTTGGAAGAAAGCCGAACGTGATGCGGATTTTACAAGTTTACCAGTCAAAGAAAGGATGACGTCATCCAAATGAATTTCTATGACGATATGTCAAAGGCTGAACAACAAATCGCCGGCCCCTATGGATGAACATGTATTAAAGTCGACGTTGTTTTAAATTCAACGGACTTCGTATACACATGATCGCTCTGAACCGAAGTTTAGGAATAATATCAGTTGCCATAAAGTAAAACAAACTTTGTAACTTGAAAAACAAAACGTAACTTTAATACAG